GCACAGTGAACGTTATTACTTTCGTTGAAGCTATTGTAACGGTTGGTTGGGAGAGCGACGCACAATGAATGCGCAGTGTAGCTCCAACCGCTACTAGATGTTATGTGGATTGAATAATAAAAGGCTTCCATCGGGCATGGTAATTCTATTAGGGCGACTTAATGATGGTGTGTAATTAAGGAGAGAATATCATTATGTCCAGGTTACTTTATTATGAGAACGAAGTTCTTCCGTTTATTATAATTAATGCTTCACTTTTATACATTTCGATTAATATGAATGAGAACACATTCTGGAACCTACTTTATGACATCAGAGGCACCACGCTATCGTGTTAGCCTCATGTCAATATGCACACTGCCTCCTTCGAAGGCTTTAACAATCACGATACTAATTTAGTTAAATAATCAATTACACCAAAAAGGGTAAGATTATAAAATTAAATTCGTTACACTATCCAGCAATTGATCTACATCAGCCAATCAGATGATTTCCTGGGGTCGCAATCAATTTACCGACAATCATTTTACAGACATAACACTACACCGACACTCAGTTTACCGACACACTTTTTTTACTGACAGCTAATCCGCCGACACTCGATTTACCGACAAGCTTCGTTTAACCGACATATTGATTGTACCGACACAGACTTCACCGACAAGCTCAGTTTATCGACAATACCATTTACCGACATTCTCATTTTACCGACAATACCATTTACCGACAAGTTTATTCTACCGACGATACGATACGCCGACAATACAATACACCGACAATACAACTCACCGCAAATAAAAGCACAGATTACGAATATAAAAAAAAGTATTCAGAATTATTCATTCGAAAAACAAGAAAAGAGGGCAATGTGATATTGAACCTGATTCGGATTATGAATGTAAGTTAGAATTGAGATCCAGTGAAGAGTTGAATTATTCATGTAAAAAAAAGGAGCAACGTGATTAGTGATGTGCCGTTTATGATAGCCCAATTTTTTTCGGTACAGTGTTACGACCAAGGGAGAGTCTTATATTGATCCGGCCAATTTAGCAAAGGGTCGTAATCATTAACAAAAGATAAAATGAATATTTTATTTACACACAAAGGCACCAAAACGTGATAACGGATATTTCTTTATAGTGTCCCAGACACTGACGGTACTGATATCTTTATTTATTCTTCTATCTAGTAAGTTCAAAACTCACTATTCCTTCAACTCAAGTTACCGACCACACAAAGAAAGAACCCACTAATAATCAAAGCTATCTTCTAACCAAACTCAAAAAACTAAACTAACTAGCGTTCTATAAATTCTACATACATATATAGGTACTACTAGACTACAAATAGACTACATACTACTTAAAGTCTAATTAAAATAGGCTTTACATTAATAAACTACGCATAAGCTATTA